TTGTCGGGTGACATTTTTCATTTGTACGATAGGCCGAACTAAGCCTGCTTGCATCTGAAATGCCACATGACATGTGACATTGCCTGTTTGTGTATTACATGTCATTTAGCATCACCAATGTCCAAATATCAATTGCGCTTTGTAACGTGCATAAACTTTAAGAGAAAAAAAAATAATTTTATATTCCTATGTCTCTCCATTTAGATACAAATTTAAAAAGTTAAATCCATTATAATTTTTCTAAAAATTAATAATATTTTATAATGGTTTAGGCCTACTGGTTTGCTTTCAATTTCTTTAAGAACTAGTACACTTTGAGTTTAAGTGTAGCTTTCTAATGAGTTGTGCGTGTGTTTCTTCACGTATTCCCTATGCCTACTAGAACGATGGCATGAGTTTAAATGCAGACGGCAGACCTTAATTAAAAACCTGTGCTTCCTAAACAAAGAAACTATTCAGCGGAAATGAAAAACTTTTTTTTTTATGAACGCAATGCTAGTTATTTTGTTGCGGTTTAATTTTGATGATTTCAGTGTCAAGACATTCTTCCCCCCCCCCCCACCCCCACCCCACCCCTCCGGCTTGTGACGGCAAAGAAATAAAGGATGCCAACTTCGTCGGGGTCGGGACATGTAGTCGCGGGTGTGGGGGGGGGGGGGCTGTCGCTGTGGGTTGCTTGTTGTGGCTCGTAAGTTGCCTTGTAGCCCGACCCTCAATAAACACACAGACAAGGGAGAGAAATCCTGCTTTCTGTTGTTTTTTATCCCGTTTTAACGCTGTGCTTTTCAGGGGCGATCACTGCGACGCGAAATGTCTGTTTTAATCTCCCTTAGACGGTGAGCTGATTTTTATGTTGTTTTTTTTCCTTACAAGAAAGAAGTTACTGTCTGAGGGGGGGGGGGGGGGGGTATCGAAACGGTATTCGGAGAAATATAGTATCGATACATTTTATGAAGACCATTGTTTAGCTTTAGGATACAGTATCGTTGCTATATTTGGAGGCATCAATATCAGGTCTCTTTGTGTTAAAATAATTAAATGCAATCCAATGTTTTTTGTGTTTTATTTATCTTTAACACTTCAACAGTGGCCTCTTTTTTTTTTTAATACGGACCAACACAGTATTTTGCCTCGGTAGAATCTCGTTAATTACAGTTGGTGCTTATTTAAAAACCAGGACAAATACAAAATGGCGCTTTTAAAAAAAAAACCTCGGAAAATTAGAAGATGTTGCTTATTAAACCATGTGGACTAGAGACTAGAGGGTGCTCTTTAAAAAACCGGACAATTACAAGACGACTCTACTTTAACTTTGACTCCAGTCAAACGCTGAGTTCTGACCTCATTCCCGCCGTGTTTGTGTGAGCTGAATCAGATATTGTGGCGCAACATCTGATTTCTTTGTCTTGTTATATTATTGGGGGGGGGGGGGCCTTGTGTGATTGTTTTTTTTAACTTATATCTCCCCCCTCTCCTTCGCACTTCATTATGGATTTCCTTGCCAGTGGTTCTCAAGATAGTCGGGTCGGTGTGATTGAGAGGTAGCGTACACGCTGCTCAACCTTAGTTGGGGAAATAAAATGTGCTAGGCATAGTATGATAGATGCCAAGGTCACAGAGACATGTGAAAATTCATTCATCGTTGGACGCTAGTGCGTTAAAACATAAAACCAGACACCAAACATGTACAGAAGGTGTGACGTAACAAAAAGATTAGAACCACTGAAGACTCTGTCATTACTTCACGATGAGAAGCGCTCACCTTTCTGGACTTGAGTTTTTCAGACTTCAGCGAGAATTTAATTTTATTATGTTTTAAAGTCAATTAATTTTTTTTCTCGTTTACTCCACCCACCCCTCCACCCCGTTCCTTCCCGGCGCGAGCTGTTTTTAATCTTTTCTGCTCTAAATCCTACACGAAGCGAACCAAGCTTCGGATAGATAAATCACTATACGGAGTTCTCCGACCTCTGGTTAGCCAAATCCCTACTCGGAGTTCACCGTATTATCTCTACTCAGAGCTAGCCATCTCCAATAAGACAAAGCCCTATACAGAGTTCACCGTCTCCTAATAAGAAAAAGCCCTACATTGAGAACATCATCAACAGTAAGACAAAGCCTTATCCAGGGCTCATTTTCTCCAAATGATTTTTTAAACAGCCAGCAGATTGTGTCTACCAACGTCACGAGGTTACCCAGGACATTGGCCCGTGTCCCCCTCCCCCCACCCAGGACATTTGTTTGTTCCCCCCCCCCCTCCCTCGTGCCACCGTACCACGACAATAACTAATTTAACACCCCAGGTAATTAAAAAAAAACACACACACAGATAAAATGGTGTCAGTTCGGTGGTAATTCACATCGAATCAGAAAATAGATTTGTGGGGGGAGTGGGGGAGGGGTTCCTAATGTTAGACATAGACTTACTGACCCGCTAAACGTTTTGTATAAGTCGACGTGATTTTTCTCAATCTACAGCTCACATGTAACAAGCCTGCACTTTTTTTTTTTCTGCGAATTAATTAAAACCAGGGCAATGATTTAATTTTTACAAGAGTGATTTTCAAAAGAAATTAGGGCATTGTTGTTTAAGATATATATATATATATATATATATATATATATATATATATATATATATATATATATATATGTGCGTCCATTCATGACTCACCCTCCAACTAGGTAGAATTCCTGCAACATGTTATAGAGCTTTTTTTATGAAGCATTTTAAATATTTACATTGCCAGAAAGACAGCCTTAAAAAACGTAAGGGTGGCTCTCAGCTATAAACTGTTCCTGCCCCCCACCCCCTCACGAAACTGCCTGTCTATCATCATTCTCCTCACACACACTCACACACACACACACCATTCTGTAACATAAAACAGGTGCGCGCGGTCGAGGGCTCTAAACACCAAGTCGAAATGACGGTGTTTGAAAGGGGAGCGAGATGATATTCGAGTCCGGAAGAAGCAGGCGAGATTACTCTTCCTGGAGTTACGTCCCTGTATGATATTGTATTTACGGCCGAATGAAAGCCACCTGTTGAAGGGAGATAAGCCTGGAGTGGCTGACACCTGATATAAAACACACATGCGCTTTTTATTCCTGTTTTATGAGTTAGGTTTTTTTTTTATTCTTGAAATACAATTCATAAGTTAGTTTTCTTACGACTTATCTCAAAAGGAAAAAAAAAATTTAATCCTGTTATGTATCTATTTCAAACATACGTCACACTTTATTTTAAAAAGCTTTTCACCATAAATCATCCCCCACTCCCCATCTTTAAGTAAAACGTGCGAGCGACTTGTTATTTATCTAAACCCGATTATGACCTCATTCATCTTAACCCACATCATCCCAACATTCCATTTAGTTTAGAAGAGAAAAATATTTTCTTTAACACAAGTTTTAAAGCTTAAACTATAAGTAGACAACCACCTCTCCACACCCCTGAAATCTCACAGCTGTTGTCATCTAGCAGCTTCCTCATCTCGCGAATCCTCGATCTGATCCCGACACTACGTCATCTCGCGAAGCCTCGATCTGATTGAGCAACAAAGGACTAATTCCTTGTGGCATCTCTTTCCAAGCCTGCCATCACCGTCTCAGCTATTAACCCGCACTTATTCTCATTTATCTCCTCCAAATCTTTGTATTTATCGCAGAAGCAAAGCCAATCAACTCCAGCTATGGGATTCTACTTACAGCCACAGGCGAACCCAGGGGAGGTGCTGGGGGATGCTGCCCCCGCCACCTACTTTCATTTCAGTTGCGCTGATAATTTTTTGCTAATATTTCTTAAAATGACAGTATATATATATATATATATATATATATATATATATATATATATATATATATATATATATATATATATATATATATATATATATATATAGGCCCTATATATATATATATATATATATATATATATATATATATATATATATATATATATATATATATATATATATATATATATATATATATATATATATATATATATATATATATCTTGATAACCATAGCCTCCTTAACCCCCTCCCTACCCTTCCCTCCAAAAAAAAATATCTCAAGCAGGAGCCGCCTATGTCTACTACACAAATCTCATCCAGGTATATAATATTACCTGTCGCTTTGGGGAATTTTTTTTTCTAACCTCCACCGCATTTTACCTGTCTGGTTATTTATTTCTTCTGGAACTCATAAGTTGACGTCTGGTCTTGTCCGGGAGCTGTGTTTGTTTGACTTCACTTTTGTCTGCAAGATTCCGTTTATTTTATAGATTCGGATGATTATTTTCAGAAATGCGTTTTTTTATTTATTTGCCATATTCTTTATCTTGACATTATCTCCCTTGCTGTACTTCAAACGGTTATGTCAGTGCAAGACAGTGGTTCTCACACTGGCACGATGGACCCTTTTTTTTCTTAAGTGTTATTTCGTTTCCATGTACTCCAGCATACTTTCAAAGAATATAATTTGATTTTGGACCACACTGAAGTATGTGTAGATGTAAATATTGTATTTTTGCTTAAACTAACCTATCTATAGGTGATGGTATAAAAAACAAAAAAGTCTAGCGTTTCTTCCCATTAAAAAAAAAAACAGCGCACGTTTACCTTTCATTATTTTACCAACCGTTGGTGTTTTGTTTTTTAAATAATTTTATGGCCATGATGTGGAGGTTGATTTAGCTGGTTTTATTTTTTAGATGTTACCTAACCAGTCCTCGTGAGCCATGGTTTAATTCGTTTTTAGATCACCTGAAATCGAATGACCCACTTCTTATTTCACCTTCTGCGTTATGTGAATTGACCCCCTTGATGTCAATCGAACCCTATCTCCAATTGACCCCCCCCCCCAATGACCCACGTTTTATTTTACCTTCTCTTCATTGTCCACTAACCCCCAATGATGGCCCACGTTTTGTTTTACCAGCTCTCTAATATCAACTGCCCCCCATTTGACCCCTGGTTTTCTCTCTATTCCAGCGTGATATCTGTAGGCGGCGACGGCTTCTACTCCGAGGTGGTCACCGCCCTGGTGCTCCGACAACAGCAGATCACAGGGGTCAACCCTGATGACCCGGACGCGACCCTGTCACCTCTGTCGATCCCAGTGGGGGTCATCCCCGGGGGGTCGGGGAACTACGTCGTCAACTACCTACATGGCACCACAGACCCAGTTACTTCTGCTATTAAAATTGTTTTAGGTAAGTTTCACAATGGCGGAGTTAGTGGGGGAGGGGGGAGGCAGTACATGTGTGGCCACAGATACTGTAGTCACAGATACTGCAGTCACAGATACTGCAGTCACAGATACCATAGCCACAGATACTGTAGTCACAGATACTGTAGTCACAGATACTGCAGTCACAGATACCATAGCCACAGATACTGTAGCCACAGATACTGTAGCCACAGATGCTGTAGCCACAGATACTTTAGTCACAGATACTTTAGTCACAGATACTGTAGTCACAGATACCATAGCCACAAATACTGTAGCAACAGATAATGAAGCCACATATACTTTAGTCACAGATAATGTAGTCACAGATACTGTAGTCACAGATACTTTAGTCACAATTATTGTAGCCACAGATACTGTAGTCACAGATACTTTAGTCACAATTACTGTAGCCACAGATACTTTAGTCACAGATACTGTAGGCACAGATACTTTAGTCACAGAAACTAGCCACGACTGCTGTACTCACATCTACTGTAGCTACAGATACTTTAGTCACAGATACTTTAGTCACAGATACTGTAGCCACAGATACTGTAGTCACAGATACTGTAGCTACAGATAGCCACAGATACTTTAGTCACAGATACTGTAGCCACAGATACTTTAGTCACAGAAACTAGCCACGACTGCTGTACTCACATCTACTGTAGCTACAGATACTTTAGTCACAGATACTGTAGTCACAGATACTGTAGCTACAGATACTTTATAGCCACTGTTACACATCTCATCAAACATGAGATATTACACGCCGATGATTAGAATCATATTTTAACCCACCAGCTACCAACATTGATTCCTTAGACAGTTGGCCAGTAGGAAGCCCCTAAAAATACTCCATTACTTCTTGACTTGCGTGATATTCAAAACAATTTTTTTGTTTTGTTTTTTTTTAAACTAATTTTAAAAGTCGCTCAAAAATACAAACCAGTTTTAATGAGTCAATTACGATTAAAGCTGATTCAATTTGAAAGCAATTTTAGCCAACTTTCAAATGACTTGCCCCACATTTCATGAAGCTGGGGGGAGAGGTTCTCAAACTGCAGAGAAATGTGAGGCTACATTCTTTGTATTATCATCGAGTTAAAGGTAGTTAGAGGGTTAAAGGTAGTTAGAGGGTTAAAGGTAGTTAGAGGGTTAAAGGTAGTTAGAGGGTTAAAGGTAGTTAGAGGGTTAAAATCTTCAGACAACTGTGTAACTAATGGCAGTTGGAGTGGTAAACTTCAGACAGCGGCGTACTTAAGTTAAGGTGTCTAATGAACTGTAATTGCAGTGCCTATAATTTAATGCCATTGAAGTCTCAAGAAAGTCTTCCAGTAGAACACATTTAAATGTATTTTAAATGACTAATAACACGGAAATATTTAAAATGTGTTGAAAGAGTTATTGTTTTAGGCGGCGATAGAAATGTGAAGGGGGTGGTCTAAAATTGCGTACATCATTTATAGACGAATGGTTTGACAAAAAGATTGACCAAAATTGAAAGACCAAAATCTAGACTAAAGTAATATTGACAAGTTTGCCAGCTTGGTTTAGTTGATTGGTTTCGTCTGGCAACATTTCTTCGTGTCTGGGGGTAGGGTGAAAAATGTTTGAGAAGCTTTGATGGAGTTCTGTTGCCTTGACAAAAACAATTTTATAAATAGCCGTGAGAATATTTTCTAGAGCGCAATTTAACTCCTAGGAAGTAGTTTTAATTTTTTTTTAACAAAATTAAAATGTCGCCTCTCCTCTGTGAACTACTCACACACGATTGGATGTCTAATCTAAAATGGATCTAGCATGATGCCACATCTCATTTCAAAAACCAAGAACAGCAACTCGTACACAAACACGGCGTTACCGCCCTTGTGTGTGGGTCTGTGTCACCGTAACCCACCACTTGAATACACTTATGATATGTTAATACTCTACTCTGATTACCACATCACTCACTCAGACTAATTATTAATTTGATCTCTGTGGTAATTAGCACGACGATATTATCATTGTACTTTTAAATATTACATAACCATAAAATTATGATTATTATAATGTATTAACAATGATAGATATTGTTGTAGTAAAATATTTTTGTTGTTCTCTAGGCAAGACTTGCCCCACCAACATTGTCGGGATACACCAGGGGAAGAAACTTGAAGGCTATGCCGGTCTTATTGCCGGCTTCGGCCTTTTCGGCGACATGATGTACACCTGTGAGAAATACAGGTGGATGGGGAACGTGCGCTACAAAGGTGAGCACTGTTTTACCGTGTGTGACAGACATTGTTTCAGCGTGGAGTTCAGGTAAAGCTGGGTGGAGATGTTGGGTTGTAAATAGAGCTGGGTGGACTTGCTTGGTACCCATGAGAGCTGGGTGGACTTGTTGGGTACCCATTAGAGCTGGTTGACTTGTTGGGTACCCATTAGAGCTGGTTGACTTGTTGAGTACCCATTAGAGCTGGGTTGACTTGCTGGGTACCCTTTAGAGCTGGGTTGACTTGCTGGGTACCCATTAGAGCTGGGTTGACTTGCTGGGTACCCATTAGAGCTGGGTTGACTTGCTGGGTACCCTTTAGAGCTAGGTTGACTTGCTGGGTACCCATTAGAGCTGGGTTGACTCGTTAGGTGGTTGTTTCTTTTTAGATCTATCTTCCAAATCCACGCCGGTTGCTAGGATTTATGTCTTTAACTGTATGCCCCTGCAACGATATGTCGGGCTGTATGACTCCTGTAGCTGTGTGACGTGTTGCTGTATGACTGTAAGACTCGTGTAGCTTATTAAAGACGAGACGCCATCCTATTCTAGGGAGTGCCATCGAAAAATTAAATAAAAATCTTTTCTTCAAAAATAAATTGAATCTTACAGGATGAGCTTTATAAAAAAACATTTTGTCAGGTTTAACGTTAGGTGCTCCTCAAGCTAATTCTTCCTAGCCTCATAATTTTCTACTTTAATTTTCTGCTCTACGCGTATGAATCACGTTTAAATTTTCATTTCAATTATTTTATAATTAAAACAAAAATATTTTCACTACCACGCCACTCCCAACACATTCAGGGGAATTAACCCATTTCTGCCTGTATTTTAAATTACTCAAACTAGGGTGTTGTTTAGTGTTTACACTTTGCATCCATTGGATGCGCTCTTTGATTTAGCCTTCACTTAATTTTTTGGCTATTACTAAACATTAACATTAACCGAAATGGAAATATATAGAACATGAATCTCTTGGTAAACTAAAGAGTTAACTTCGTAGCATACAATGAATGAACAATTTCACGTTCGTTTGGTCTTGTGTTTAAAAATCTAATACCGACAAAAACTTTTGGTTTTTAATTTAGTTTTTAACATCTCGCATGATGTATGTTTTCAATTTTTGACAGCCTACATCCGTTTTTTTTTCTCAACGTGGTACCGTTATGTTCAGACAAGCTTCTCTCTTTGCAGAAACAAATTTAATTTGGGGGTTTAAGAAAATAAGTTTTAAAATAGATGGGTTGTTGTTTTTTTTAAATCACCAATTTCTGTTAAATTTGGGGGAGAGCGGCGTGTATAGATGAGAGAAAAACTGGCCCGACCCCTGCTCGTCTAGTTCATCTGGGAGGGGGGGGGGTGCTCGCTTATCCAGTTACAGGCTACTTGCCGATAAATCTTTTTGGTTTTTTATGAGAACCGGAAATGACGTAATGTTTTTAAAAAACTACTCACTCGTGAATGCACTTGTTCTTGTTTAGATCTCAACTGGGCTGCCTTTCTAATGTAGATCTCAACATGGCTACCTTTCTAATGTAGATACCGACAGGGCTGTCTTTGTTGCGCAGAAAGCGATAGGGCTGTCTTTCTTGTGTAAATACCTGCAAATCTATCTTCCCCCCCCCCCCAATTGTGTCAATAAAATGTACTACTATCTCGTCCCTTAATAAATCGTCGTATTGTCTTACACCACCCCTTTATTGTGTCAATAAAATGTATTGTCTTGTCCCTTATTAAAAATGTCGTCTTGACTTGCCCCTCATTAAAAATGTCGTCTTGTCTTGCCCCTCATTAAAAATGTCTTGTCTTGCCCCTCATTAAAAATGTCGTCTTGTCTTGCCCCTCATTAAAAATGTCGTCTTGTCCCTCATTAAAAATGTCGTCTTGTCAGTAGTATATTAGGTCGCTTTTGGACCGCATTTTTGGCGGAGGTGGGGATGTGGAGGAACAATGACATATAGCAAAATACTCGGGAGCAGGATGCGCGGGATGCGCAATGACATATAGCAAAATACTCCCAGGCTGGCGCATCGGGATGTGGAGGGTGGGTGAGCAGGATGCGCAGGATGCGCAAAGACATATAGTAAAATACTACGCCAACCGGGGTTGGCGGAGGTGGTGGGGAAGTAGGTCACCTTTTGGTGACCTTGTGACGTAATCATTGACCTTGTGACGTAATTACTGACCTTGTGACGTAATCAGTCACATTGTGACGTAATCATTGACCTAGTTACGTAATTTTAATGTGTTTTTAATTAGTTTGAATATATTTTTTAATTAATTTTTATAATTAGTTTGAATTTAATTACTTTGTTTACTTTTTAATTATTTTTATTAACGAGTTACGTAATTGGATTTTAATTTTTTAAATTTTTAAATTTTTTTAAATTTTTAAATTTTTAAATTTTATTTTTTAAATTTTATTTTTTTTTTTTTTTTTAATTTTAAATTTTTTAAATTTGTTTATTTGTTTACTTTTTTGTTTAATTTGTTGGTTTGTTTATTTGAATGTATGTATGTTTTAAATAAAAGACTAACACTAGCATGTACTAGAACAGTCTTTGTATACCAGCCTTTAACCAGGCGGGCAACATGTGTTACTTATCGATCTACTAGTGAGGTTTTCTCGCCGCTGCCCGTTTTAATGGGAATGTATTGATCGCACCCACGGGGCCATCACACCTAATTAATTTGGTCATGCATCGTGGGTTTTTCCCCGCTCGATTTGACGGGTCATGATGATTTATGTGGGTTCGCGAAGCGATCCCACCGGGGGGTATGGTAATTAACGACGTACATTAAGTGGCTTTCCCGTGCTTGGATCCCATGCTTTTCACTAACAGTTATACGGACAGTATCATAGGTTTTTGGTTTTCACCGAGGCAATGTTTTGTTGTTGGTTGGTGTAGAGTTTATACGAGGGTCGGTGAAGTTTTCACCGAGGTTGGGTTTTGAACTCGGACCATGCATGTTTAGGAGTTGGATGTGGTAGAGTTTACACTAGGGACGGATGTGTTTTGGTTACACCGAGGGTGGTTTCAAAGTTCGTACGTGCATCATTGGAATTGTTAGGGGCCGTGTTCATACTAGGGTCGGTGAAGTTTTCACCGAGGTTGGTTTTGAACGCGAACCATACATGTTTAAGAATTACTAGGTGTAGAGTTTATACGAGGGTCGGTGAAGTTTTCACCGAGGTTGGTTTTGAACTCGAACCATACATGTTTAAGAATTGCTAGGTGTAGAGTTTATACTAGGGTGGTATGGTTTTGGTTTCACCATGGCTTGGTTCAAAGTTGTTACATGCATGCTTTGGAGTTGGTAGGTTTCAAACTAGGGTCGGTGAAGTTTTCACCGAGGCAGGTTACAAAGTTGATACAGGCATGTTTTAGGAATTGGGGTGGGCCGTGTTCATACTAGGCTCGATTAATTTATTTGTTTGAAATTCATTTTAATTAGTTTGCTTTTAATTTCTTTGTTGTACGCCGTTTGAAATAAAAGACTAACACTAGCGTGTACTAGAAAGTGTCATTGTGTATAACATCCATTTAACCACAGCTGTTACTTATTAGCGACAGCTTGTACTTATCGATCCGCCCGTGAGCCTCCCCGGCGCTCCCCGTGGTTGCTTAATAGCGGACTCACTGAAGCGATCACAACAGGTAATTAATCGAAACCATTAAGTCCCTCTCCGCGTTAAGTGTGGCGACAGCTGGTGCTGTAATTAGTCACGGCTCTCGGCTTTTTTCATTAGACTTCAGCTGTACATGAACTATGTTCACATATCGTACGCCCGGTCATTCTTTGATCAAATTAAAAAATTTTGTTTCCACATGTCCTGCGAACCGTCCCTTGCTATGTATGAAAGATTAATGGTTGTAACTATTCGCTTATAGCGAGGGTCAGCGAAAACAAAAATATATTTAAGGGTCGGAATTTTCTTTCAACCACCGTTAAGTCAGGTTTTGAGACTAAACGAAGTCTCGGTAGGTTCGTGTTTTTTAATGGGCGACAGGGCGACTTGATGCGTTGGTACGTAGGTATGCGGGGTTAAGGTTCTATAACTCTATATATTTAAATACGTTTTTTTTTTTTTTTTTTTATTCAAATGAGTTTACTCCCCCTAACGTAAGTACATGTAAAGAGGGATTTCCTATAGATCTGTAATGAATTAGGCCTTTTTGACTATGACTTGTTGCCCAGGTGTTGACATGATACGCTTTTTTGAGATATACATACACACACACACACACACACACACACACACAAACACACACACACACACACACACACATGCGCGCGCGCGCGAAATTCATACTAGGTCGGTAATGGCGGAGAGAACTTATAGGTATACATTATCATGGCGACAACAAAAACGACTCTTATTTTATTTACATGAAAGCGTGTTTTCCAAAAAGTGTCACCATGCCATTGTCATTTTCGCAGCGGGGTTTATTTTAAGTGTACCCCGTGCACGGTTGTTTACATTTTAAAAGACGTGTCGCGTGTCTTCCCCTTACGGCTTCCCTAATAGAGAAACGAGAGGAAAGACAACTGTTCTAAAATTAGAACAGACTTGTCTACACACACGAGTATCGTCCCTTGTGAAAAAAAAAAATTCGCGTCAGATTCCTTAACTAAACAGTCAATTTCTTTAACAAGTTAAAAAATAATTTAGGAAGACAAGGGTTAACAACATTAGACGCTACCGTTTTTGTTTCCTGTGACGACAAGGCACAATACACTTTTGTATTTTATGTCTCAAGTAGAGGGTGGGATATTTTTTCTTTGTAAGCGTGTTGTAAACAATGGGTAGAGGAACCGATTACTAGGTAAGAGGGGAGAGAACGTGACGTACATCGCGATATTTGAAAACAGGGCGATGTTTAACCTCAACCAAAAAAGACAATGAACCTAGAAGGAAGACGAATATATATCTTAGTCTTGCAGCAGATTACCTTCCCATGTTCACTTTAGTATTACAGTTTTCATCAAACTTCT